CTTCAAATGGTCAATAATGTTTTCTAATTTTTTTTGCTCAGACAATATTTTATGAAGAGTTTGTATTTGAATTATACTTTTTTCGTTCAGTTGAATATGATAAAGATAAATGTTATGCCTGAATATGTATAGTCCGTAGCCCACTTGGGTCTCTGCTATAGTATGAGTGAAATGGACAGAAATTTCATACAATCTGCTAAAAGGATGTAGTGTTACATAGAACATACTTGTAATACATTTCATTTGACTTCATTTTTTTTGTTAATCTGCAACCAACATGGGCACCTGATCTTGGCCAAGCCGTTAATATTTTCTCAAATTTTCTGTATAATTTCATGACTTACATGTTGCTATAGCATTTCATACAAAAATATAATAAAAATCTTATTTCATCTCGAAGTTATTAAAACTTCGAATTTCTGGACGCCTTGGATTGACACATCCTTGCGCTTTCACATACTTTAATTTTATTCTTAATACTTAAAGAAAAGTGGCAATTTTGTTGTGTATTAATGAAAAATATTAAAACCATAACCCAGAAAATTCAGAGTAGAAATGTTCGAAAGCAAAAACCACTCACAGTATTGTAAGTCCGTGCTCAGTGGTGTGTGCAGAGTTTAACAATTGAGCACACCCGGTGAATCGTAAACATTAACAATAACAGAGCTCGTGCCCTGTTTACAAAAAAAGTTTACGTTTCACGTGTGTGTTCAATTTGTTAAACTCTGTAAACATCACAGAGCACGGACTGACAATACTGGTGAGTTGGTTTTGCTTTCGAACATTTCTACTCCGAATTTTCTAGAATAAAGATGTAATATTTTTCATTAATACATAACAAAATCGCTTCTTTTCTTAAAAATATATTAAAGATAAAGTTAAAATTTGTGTAATTGCAAAGATGTGTTAATCAAACGCGTCCCAGAATTCGTAGTTCCAATTATTTTCAGATAAAATAAGTATTTAATTATATTTTCGTGTGAAATGCTATTGCAATATATAAGTCGTGATATTATACAGAAAATTTGAGAAAATATTAAGTTCAAATCTTTGTCTAAGCACCTTTAAAATATATATACCGAAGAATCTTTTTATATAAAATATTTATCACACTGTAATAATGATTTTATGAGAAGGTTTGTACACACCTGACGTCATAACTTCTTCATTTCATATGTTGAATACTATCATTTAGTAAATAAAAAAAAAAATAAAAAAAATAAAAAAAAAAAAAAACGGGGTCGTCCGAGACTTGAGCCCCGGACCTCTCACATCCTAGACCAACGAGGCGCTTGACATTTAAGCAAATTTTAAAAATGCAAACAGCAGGTGACATATACATGTTTATATTCACGTTCGTCAAAATTTGAAGTATATTTCAGCCTTTACTAAACAGTTCTAACAGATATAATTAAAATATAAAGTCCACCGACAACCTGTATTATGTAATAACTCTCCACATGTCCCTGTGCTAAAAATAGTGCCAAGCGACTTTTAATACAAACGGGGGGGGGGGGGGGGTAACTCTAAAACTTTGAGCGTGATCGATGCCACAAATTTCCAATTGACTTTTGAAAAAAAGATTGACCAAAAAAAAAAAAACGGGAAGGGACACTTTGAGAGGGGCGAGCGGGGCCTTAAGGAGTTATCGTATAACTATATCATTGCAAAAGCTACTTGAGATATCGCCCGGAAACGAAAGTATTACACTCAGAATATATGAATTTACGACCTTGACCTTTGACCTTTTGACCTCAAAATCAGTAAGGTGTTTTTTTTTTTTTTTTTTTTTTTTTTTTTTGGCCATAGGGAGTTGTGGTATAAAATTTCATTGCAAAAGCTCAAAAGCTTCTCGAGATATCGCCCGGAAACGAAAGTGTTACACACAGACAGAAATACAGCTAGACAGACGGACGGACGGACAGACAGACCAAAATTAATATTCCCCACTATCAGTGAAAGAGGGGGACAAAAATTTAGGTAAAAGGAAATAGAACTTAATGTTTCCACCATATGTCAGGTTTGATCGAGTTGACTACTCAAAGGTCTCAATTATTTAATCTATGAATAATATTAGGATTTTTTACTTGGAAAGTTATCTCTCTTATCAGAGGGTCGACCCCCCATAAATTCAAATCAGCGATAAAATGTATTTATTGTTTAACAAGAACAGATATGGGTTACCCCATATCCAAAATATTCGACTTTTAATTTATTCGAATTTTCATTATGCTCAGATGATTTCTAATTAAAAAAAAACTATTTACTGATAAAACGTCAGAGATACTCAAGCTGTAGAAAGTCAACTATACAATGGCCATAAATATCCTAAAATGACATAATATTTAGGCTACTGAGTTTCAACATCTTTTGTTGATTAAAATATGCATGTACTAAGGAAACTGCATGTACATATATAACGTTACATGCGTGTAGTGACTTATTATCACAACGTTGCAGATGCCTAAAAAAATAGTTTTAATTTCCCATAGAACATAGACTTAATATAATTAACCGTATAATTTTAAAGATGTATTTAACAGCTCACTCATTTTCAGGAATATTTTAATCCAAATAGCATATTACAGGCCTGTAGCAAGGTTTTCAAAGTGAAAGGGGGGGGGGGCTCCGAAAAAATCCCGCGTACTATGGGCCTGTGCTACATGTGTACCATCTAACTTTCCAATGATAGAATCTTCTGTAAAAATTCGAAACAAGTCCAAACAAAGATCAAAGATAGCCCATTTTTTTAAATAGCAAAACTATACATCTATCAAGGATAGATTTTAATTTATTTTTTAATTTTGTGCTATTAAAGTACTATCACTCAAAGTATAGGCAGATGTTAAAGATGGGTCAACAAGAGTAATCAATGAACTCGTCTAGAGATGCATTGACGGCCGTTGTTAAACGCAAAGTAAATCGCGAGATCGGTTGCGGCTGTGGAGCGTCACTGAACATTCCTTCGTCATAGAATAAAATCCGACATTTAACACTTTATATAGACTTTGAATATAGAGACGTTTTGAAGATAAACTACATTTTTGTTTCTAGAAATGTTTTTATTTACAAAAATAGTATATTTTCGTGTTTATAAACTGAGTAGATCAATGACCTAGCATCGTTTTAGATAACTCAGCCCCTCTAGCCTAGTCTAGGGCTTGAGTAAAAAACCTGCACTTGTTATGAAACTGGTGTATAGTTCTTCCTCATGTCCGTAGCAAATACTGATACCCATTCTACATGATCTAAGCGTCGCTAGCGAACGGTGCACATACCTGTGCTTGCAAGACCAAATAGACTAGATTTACACACGTGCGAAGATCCTTTCCGACGAGCTCGGCAAATCACGTTGCTTTGCCGAGAAGTTACGATTGCAGGTGTTTAACCATAATATCCATTCCGTTATTTAAAAAAAAAGAGAAAAAAACACACACAGTTAATGATTAACATTCTCACTCAAAAGAAAATATAGGGCAATTAACGAACAATAATCATGACAGGTATATAATTGGTGAAAAGATTTATCACTATCAATCGAAGGATGACCTATATATTTTCGTGAAAAAGACTGAGGAGGCAGCGAGCGTAGGAATATGAAAACTTTTTATTTCCTTTTCTGGGGAAAAGTGATTTTCTTAAAATCATTTTACGTTAATTTTGTTTTCTTTAACGAATTAAATATACATCATTATTCTTAACATTTGTTGTAATGTTGTATCTACTGATCATGAATGGAACTATTTTCTTCGGAGCAATTGTGTGAAGAGTACCTGACTTTAGTAATATATCTTGAATAGATAATATGCACTGATCGAATATATTAAAAAAAAAAGATGTTATAATCTATTCCTTTGAAAGGCACATGGTCGGCCTTGATTGCCCGTGGGTAACAAACATAACTCCGGGCACTGATGCCTATTTGTTTTTTATAGATATTATTTGTTATTAAATTTAAACAATTTTATTCATTCTTGATATAAAATTACCCATCAAAATGTTCAATTTCGCCCTTATTCCATATGCCGGCAGAAAATGCACAATCCTTGTCGTTTTTTGAACATCGCAAATCTTATCTGATGGAGAGGGTATGAAAATAAAGAATAGGTAAGAGTTCTGAAAAAAGCCATAAATTGAAGTTTTTTAAATGTTTATTTCTTTCCATAATATCACCGACATCTTAACTGTGTATTCTTGTTACAGATATGATTTTAAAACTCTCTTTTCGAGGAGAACCAAATATCGAAGGCATGGGGACCGAATATTTCTTGAATATCAATAGATAATCAGGTCACGCTTTTTTCATCGTCTGAATACATAGCGCATGTTTGTCGGCTGTTCTTAAGAAAACTGTACACATGTAGTTGTATATTGAACAAAATAATGTCATATTAAAGGAGATGAGCTGATACTTGTGCTTATACTTAATTTTACAAAAACGTGTTCAAAACAAACTTCTCGCTTCCGTTGTTATGACTGTGTTTACCTTGATTTGACTTCGATTCACCTGTTGAATATTACAATTCATCATGTGATGTCCAGCTGCGAGTGTACTTTTGAAAAACAATTAAACTGTTCTTAAACGCGTGACTTCAATCTAAATCACGTCTTAGAACGTGTTTGGTTGGTCTGCCATTCTCAGAATTTAGCAAATCATATGTTGTTATATTTTTGCGTATACATAAATAAATCATGTCACTGTCGAACACCAACAAATGCAGATCCCGCCCGCAATGTGACGTAAGCGGTCCAATATCTCATCGACAGGTCCAATATCTCACTCTGCGGTCAAACATCGATTTTTTATGACCGCTCAGTAAAACATTGGAAATGTTAGACTTTTTTAAATATAGATTTATACAGGATCCAATTTTTAAGGTATAACAAGATTTGTACTATGTTTTTCATGGATATAAATGTATTTACTTAATATTTTCACAATTGCTATAATTTTCATCTGTTCATGAAATCTTACAAGAGCCTGCAATTATTTTTTTCAGGATGGTCCTCACAGCATTTCTAAACTTTTGAATGTTATATTTGTTGATGTGGATGACTCTCCTCCCGTGTTTGTCAGATCCGACTGCTCTACAACGTGTTACACATGTCCAGTTTCAAATATTTCTGTTACCATTTATTATTTCGATCAGGTAAACTTCTTCCCCAAATGGAACAACACTGCGCATGGAAACATTCATCATTTTTATTTTGAGAAACGAGGGTATTGTCTAGGCTTTGCTGATAACAACTTTCTCTTAGGCATGTTAGGTAAAATGTAATTATTCTTTCAAGTTCAACGTCAAAGACGTCAAAGACGTTTGAAGTTAAAACTTTCTAATATTGCAGGGTATTATTAAAACTGAGCCTACCGGCATAAAAGCCCTGGATCCAGACACTCCTCAGTCAAATATCACGTACAGTTTAGACGGTAAGTTATTATAACTTCGAAGATATTTTGTTAAATTTAATTTTGCTTAAGTTTTTAAAGAAATACTTCAAGTTATGATCTGTACATTTCTATTCAAACGTATTTTTTAAATTTTTAGTTTATCCTGAAGAATACAAAGACAATATTGAGTTTGAAAATGGAAGTTTCATCCTCAATCAGTCATTTGCAAACTTCTCCAACTTCAATGAGCCTTCCGACTTCAGTGTGGTGATAATTCTGCGGGTTTGTTCTCTTTAAGTTTTAGTTATGTGGTGTTTGTTCTGGTATTGGCTAATTTAGATTACTAATAGTTTAGTAGTTGGGCTGGATCTTCATGGAAATTACAGCTTATTTACCATTCGTAGTATTTGTTACTCATTCTTAAACACATGCGTTTTCAGGCTACAGGAAGTAATGGCCAGAATTCAGACAATTTCACTTTAACCGTAAATGTGACGGTTCCTCCAACCACAACTCCGGAACCAACAACAGAACCCACAACAACCCCGCCAACCACTACAGAGGAAGTGACGTCACAACCGACTACCATGACACCTACAACACCTCAACCGTCGACGACCACCCCTGCCCCCACTACAACAGCACCCATTGCGAACCCCAACCCAGATGCAAGTACCGATAACAAGGTGTTGATTATCGTTTTACCTATAGTGGCAGCTCTGGTTCTTATTAGTGTGCTAGTGATTATTTACAAGACGAGGAAATCCCAGCCTCAGCAGAAGTACAAGCTGGGGGAGAACGGTATTAATGGGGATGCTGGCCATAACGATACATCTACCGAGATGGACAACCCTACCTTCAAAGGCGAGAAGGAAGGCGTTTGAGAGGGGGATGTCTTAAAAATGACACAGAGATTTTACATTCCATTATCATTTTAAGTTCCATGTGCTACTCAAGAGTCTCGTTTTTTTTTTCAAGAGTTGTTCACTTTTGTTCGGGGTGCTTTTTAAGACCTTTTGATTACATGCATATGTACTCTAGGAAATCAAAATATATTGATATTGCAATAACATATCAAATATCAGTGTAATAGTGTATAGCAATTCTCATAGTAACTTAAATGCTGAATAATAGTAATATGCAGTGATTTTTATTTCAATATGCCAAGTACGGCATTTCACATACATGTAGTAACATGAGTATGTGTAGTGTTTTAGCTTGCTGTGAAAGCGGGCCAAAAGTTGTTTTGCTTTTTCTCATTTTGTGTGTGGTGAAGGTTTGTCATGGGCTGATGGAGCGTAGAAGTGAAAGAAAAAAGGACGACTTTTTACAATTCGTATCTTATTTATTGTTCTTGTGCTATAAATATATAAACTCTTTTTCATGACAGCACTCAAGCTTATCGTGCCATGATTTAATTCAGTGTCCACAGTCTGGGATTGTTATTTAAAACGTACATAACTAATTGTATGATGCATAAATCACTTAAAATGCCTGGATCAGTTATTTGTTCCATTGTTTTTTTTTTAATTTCAAACACAGGCTTTTGGCTCTCAGAAAAGTATTAACGATACGCATGCGTCAGCGAATCTACAAATCACTTTAAAAGTGGAAGTAAATAGAGGATTACCTCCCCCTTCCTCTGATTTTCCTGTGGTAGCTGTTGTGGTACCCTGTGTTGCGATGGTTATAATTATACTTGTTGTGGTTCTGGTGGTGCACCTTAAACGATCTAAGCCCCAGAAAAACAAAAAGTATCATATCAGCACAAAGAGGAGAGAGAAAGAAGATAACGGTGTCGTCACAAACGAAGAGGGAAAAGTCGGGGAAATAAATGAAAAGAATCCTGGGGATACAGCACCAGAAAACAGGTTTGTGGATGAACCTGTTGATGATGTAACCAACTCTAGAGAGGGAATGGAGAATCCTTTGTTCAGTGAGCTCAATAAAACAATAAATGTTAATGTAGATTTAGAATCAGATTAAACTTTATATTTAGAGTCTTATATTGTTCATCCATTGATTGATTTACTTTTCATAGACGTCGGAAGCGGGGGGGGGGGGGGCGGGGCTTAGCCCACCCCCCCCCCCACTTTTTTTGCAAAGATAGACATAATATATAGGCATTGAAAATTGGGGCTTACCTTTTTTCGTTGGTTTAGCCCCCCCCCCCACTTTCAATTAGTCCCCCCACTTTCAATTTGCTTCCGACGCCTATGCTTTTGATATCTCACGCAATATTTGCGAGAGAAACTGGAATAAAACGTTTAACTTTTTTATCTACAGCGCTGTATGTCTTGTCATTTTAACAGTTAAAATTGGATTAACAATAAAGCTAATGATTTTAATATTTGCTATAAGATTATTTGTACAACGAGTCTAGCTCTCTCTTTGGAAAATCTTTTGTATAGATAATACATATGGATATATATATTTTTTTACCGGAAACGCTGATAAATGATCATTAGATGTTTGTATATTCATTCTACAATCAACAAATTGGATATATATAAAAGACGTTCAAATGTCCTCCATTATGCAATCACCTCCTTTTTTTTTTTACTTTTTACTTTTTAAGACATATAAATATTGAGATTTTTTTCCATGAAAATTGAAATATTATTGTAATTATTATTGAACATTCAATTTACTTAATTCTCGAAAAGAAATACAATACGATATTATAAATTTGTGATATTTCATGTTCAAGGAGTCCATCCTTGCTACTGACAATTAAGGATTTAACGGTGTTTTGTTGAAACGAAAAGGGGAGGGCAGGTATGGAAACAGATGATGTCTGTGCAGAAAAATCAGGGATGCAGCATATATTTTGAAATATCTTAAGCACACAGGTCAATATTGAATATATCCTTTCAAATATCTATGCAAAATTTATCAAGTCAGTATAGAATTGCAATATGACAAACCAATTCTTTTTAAAATTGACTGATCTTTCTTTTACCTAGTAAGCTCATCAGTTTGTATGGTGCAAGATTAGCTGTGAAGAAACAAAAGAAAATCTTACAATAATCTTAATTTTTTCACACAAAGTTACCAACAGTTCTGTCATTTGGGCGATTTAAAGATATATATATATATATATATATATATATATATATATATATATATATATATATATATATATATATATATATATATATATATATATATCCCTATAAATGGAAAAAAAATCGTATAACTTCCTGTTAGAAATTAATTGCTATAAATCTTGTGATTTTGTCATACTGGAAAATTAATCTCTTCAGTAAAACACTACTTTGAAAATTTTCGAAAATATTTTATTTATGGGATGAACTTTCTTAATTAATAAACACCCTTTATTTTACTTATTTTCATGATTTTTAAGACAATGTTTAGCATCTGAAGTTTACTGAACACAAGTTTTATATTTACAGTGTCACAATCAATTAGCATCCCCATCAGGTTAAGAAGATTCGAGTGTTATAATGCATTCCATTAAAATATGTATTTCTACAGTGAGCTGATAATACATTGCTTTCTACGGTGATATTTAGATAGCTGAAAAGATTTTAGAAGTAGAAAATAAATTAAAGTCCATAACAACACTTGTCATATGTTTTTTGTGAATTGTCATTAAAATATCTAGAAGATTTATGTTGCATTGTTTCTGTGTTGTGCTATCAAATGATTGGTATCACTGCCTGGATTTCGTGATAATCAAAAACATTTCTTGACAAGCGAAAAAAAAAAACTCAAGCGTATAAAACCCTGGAAATTTCCTGACAGGGAAAAAAACCTTAAGTCCATTCCAAGTATTGAAAATAACAATCAAAAACCTTTTTTATGGTGGTAGTGGAAGTCGGGGGAGGGGGTGGAGTGGTCCTCCCTCCTGCATGTAATATACCACTAAGGATTTAGATATGAAACAATTACCTGCATTTTCTTTCATAACAAAAATAATGAATGTGTAAATGTCCGTTGGATTAACATATCAAGCCTCATCCTGACGCCCATGTTGCCCACGGTTCAAAATGATAAAAACACGTACCATTATGCTTTATGTATTTATGAACAGAAAGTTAATGTAATGAAATATGGAGATAACGAACATTATTCAAGCTCAAAGTCCAGAGCAAACACGGACCTCCAAAAAAATCAGAGATTGGATCAATGCCATGTATGGAGGAGTGAGCATCCTGCCGAGCTGCCAAACCCGCCGTGTGCTCATTGTCATGATCGGGAAAAATGGGGGGGGGGGGGGGATCCATCGACAATTCAGTGTGTAAATAATGGCCTAACAATTAGAATGAAAAACGTTAGTCAGCATTTGACTTAATGATAGGTTGTATTTGCTGACAAGGTCATTGTATCGACCATAAAACTTGCGAAATGATGACTTCAAACGAGACTGTTGATATCCTTGTTTCATCAACTTGTTTGTCAATAGCTTGCCACGTTTAAGAAATTGTATATACGTAGAGCATGCTCTTGCGTATCGAATCAACTGAGAGACATAAACCCCATATATGCAGCTGATAAGGGTACATTGCTACATAAGTAAGGGAAGTTGACGATTGAAAAGTTGAAGTCATCACGTTTATCATAAAGCTTTGTTGTTAGGTTATCATTAACGTCTTTTTCTAGTAAAATATCCAAATATGAAACAGATGTGTCAGACTCTGTGGTATCTTTTATGTAAAGGGGAAAATATTTGTATATAGAATGTACATAGATTACGTAATAGACGCTATCCGTAAGCCGGCAGCTATCCGGTAGCTGCCGTGTATTAGCAGCTCAAACAGAGCTGCCCCTAAATTGTATAAATAGGGCGTGCACGCACGCGTGGGTGGGTGACAGAGTTAGTTACGGAGTTACAGAGTTAGTTGTGAGTTAGATATATTATGTTGTGCTTTTGATTAATAGAAACATGTCATAAACTTGTAAACTGATCACTGGAATTTTTAATTTACGCTACCAAAGGAGGAAAAACATATTTATAAATTCATATGGGATATTGAGGATTTTAATAAAGTCTAAAGAGGATTTGAAATAGCAGAAAGGACTGCACGCTCGATCGGTCCCGCTACATTTATTTCAAGCTCACTTGGATATATATCGAGTCGACATATGAATGGAAATAACTATATCATTAATTGATAATACGTCGTCGACATATTTAAATGTCGAGTTGAAGGCCACAGTAAATGTTTCCTTCTTCTCATGTAGAGGTTTCTGAATAAATGCTTCAAGTGAATACAAAAAATATGTCTGCTGATTACGGGGCGCAATTGGTACCCATGGGAATTCCAAAACTACATAGATATTGTCAATCAGAAACTCAAGCATCTTTTTAATATCAACTTCAGAGTACTTGTGTGTACAATCAGAATATTTTTAACAAAATAATTTTGCAAATGACCAATGACAAGGTAAGAATATTTAAAAGTTCCATTTTTATTGAAAAAGCAGCTGTCTATGATGTCAAAGCCTGGACTTTTAATTCATTATGGGGAATGGTTGTATAGAGTGTTAAAAAGTCGTACATTTTATGTTACTGATTTTAGTAAGATGTTGTGATTTCAAATTTTCTAAAAGTTCATTGGAGTTTTTAAGTATCCACATCTGATTTACACCACTTCTGGAATATATTGTTGTACAGTACTCCTGAAGTCTCTCCTTCACCGCTGTAAATATCTTAGTGACTGAGGAGTTTTAAAGAAAGGGGTTTGGTAGAACATTTACTGGAACCCTCTATGAATCATTGTAGGGATTTTAATGGAGTTTTGGAATCCAGTATAGATGTGGTAATTCAGATTCATTTTGATTGTTGGGAATATTGAAAATACTTAAACATGAGAATATTGTCAAATTTTTGTATACATGTTTATTTATATCCTTTTTCAAAATATTTTGCATGGTTATTCAATATTAAAAGAAACGAATATTATATCGGATAAATCCATTCTATTATCGAATTTGGTTTTTTTCTTTAGTGTAACCCATTTCTTTCTCAGTTGAACGCTTCAAAGGAAGGAATTTAAGATATCCTTTCAAAGACGTATATTAACACAGATAAAAACAACTTCGATGGTCAAAATCCTGACAAAATGTAAGATCAACTCCAGAGGCGTTGGAAATACCGGAGTTTTTCCCCCTGAGAGATACGGCTATGGCCATTTTACACAGATCTTTGTTTACCTGTATCAGTTTATTGGCATTTCTCATACTTCTAGCACTCAAGCTGGATAAGAAAGTAAAATGGAACTGGTTCCTGGTTTTTAATCCAATGTGGCTTTTTGACGCCGTCATTGTAATCTATATCACGTTCAAAATGATAGCGCAGTGTAAAAACAGATATAACCAAGGACAAGTATCCATGATGCGGAAAGTGTGTTAC